GATAAACTCCGTGGCATATTGTTCCTCTTAGTGCAGTCTGTTGGTGTCTTTGTGTGAACGGGAGCGAAGGTGTTGGAGTGCCGTAGTTCAGGAGTTACAATCCCTCCCGCAGGAACGACCACGGATGGCAAATGCAGCGTGTGCTCAGGGCTTTCTGTCTGCTCCACTGGCCTAATTATATCAAGTGGTCAGGTCACTGTCTTGGAAAAGCATTGGTGTTCTTCCCCCAGAGGGTGGTTGGCACTGAACAGGCTCCCCAGGGCAGTGGGCACGGCCCCAAGGCTGCCAGAGCTGCAGGAGGGTTTGGACGATGCTCTGAGGGACAGGATGGGATTGTTGGGGTGTCTGTGCAGGGCCAGGAGTTGGACTGGATGGTCCCTGTGGGTCCCTCCCAACTGAGGAGATTCTGTGAACTGGTGGAAGGAGCAGGAGGTCTCCCTGTGAAGGCACAGGACACTCTCTCACCTTTCCCTATCGTTGTTCCTGGAAGTGCCGGCGTATCGTAACGCCGTCTGCATCTGCGAGGTGATGCTATGGAAATATTTCCTTAGTCCTAATAAAATTATTAATCTGGGAGATCTGAGTGCTCAGCTACCCCCTGCATGCACTACTGGTTCCAGGAGGCAGCTTGAAATTAAATGTTCTTTAACGTTTCACTTAAAACCAAAGTGGGAACCAGTGTGAAGAAGCTGAAGGACAGAAACCCCATGGGTGTAAACAGCTCGGAGCAGTGATGTGACAGCTACTCTAGGAATTGGGAGATGTTTAAGATATAATTACTATATATTAACAAGATGAGATCTGCACAAAGAGCCTGATGAGCCTGCCAGAGAAATAAACCACAAAGTACTGGCTGACCTGATTTATTTTTTTTTCCACCGTCATGTTTTAAATGTTCATGCATACTGATTAAAATTTAGGTTGGGGTCTGCAGAGCTCTTGCCAAGTTTTGTCACTCAGGGCTTTTTAGATGCTGTAGATTTAACCCTCTGTCTGCCCTTTTGGTGGCCAACTTCCCAGATACCAAGGGCAGATAATATTCTGCCTTGTCCAGCTGAACCGATGCATTCAGACTTCCTGAGGAAAAAGCCTCTTGAGTGCTTCTAAAATATTTATTTATCCAGGAGTCATCTTACTGAATTTACTCTTTGCTAAAACAGGCAGGGCTGTGTTGGCCTGGCATGAGATAATATGTTTGACTTCACTCTTTCATTCCTATGGAATGATATTTGAGATGCATGGGTTTTGTTTTTTTTTTCGGTTTTTCTAGAATATCAGGGGAAAATAATTTCGAGTGAAGAGAGAATTTTGCTGAACATCTGGGAGCAAAATGGGAAAAGTTTGATAAATGGCATCTTGCTGACATGTAATAGCAACTAGCTCAGTGAAGGAATCTAGGGCATTGCAAATAAAAGGATTTTCCTTAACTGCAGTTCAGTTGGAAATGTGGCTCCGTGCGTACACTTGACAGTAACAGATTATTCCGATTGTCAGATTTAAAAAAGCGAGAAAATTCAGACTTAAGTCATGCAGTAATCTTAATTTCAGGAGCAGCCGTGTCTGTATATAGAGACAGACGTTTTTTGATGACTTAAGTCAGGAGAGGAGATTCTTGGTCAAAATTTCTATTCTATTCAGAGGTTGGCTATACTGTATTAAATATATATGGAAATATTTCATACACTCAGCATGGCATTATCCTGATAACTGCATAAGTTTAAATTCTTTCAGATGTCCAACTGTTCTTCATTGTTGTCATTTTGTGTTTGAGACACATCAAGTTTGAAATTTGCACATTATTTTGATTTTATCCATCGCACAGGGATACCTTTATCCATGAGCTTAAGTGCTCTCAAATGAGCCAGAATCTCCTCAGACACACAGGTTTAAACTGGAAGCAACTCAAAGCAGTCAGACTTGGCAAACAGAAATCAAAACTGTGACTTAGGAAAAAAACCCCAAGCATACCCAAGATATTTTCCAGAGAACAGGCTTGAGCTCTGTAGAGTTTTTCCCTTGTATTGCTCTACCAGTCTGATGTCAAATGACATTTTTTTCTTCATTTACTGTAATTGTCCCTGAAATGTAACAGTGAAACAAACCATTAGCAAAACGCTGAGCTGTCAGGAGCAATCACTGGTGGCGGATCCGAATGGGCGCTTTCCCCGCTCCGAAGGTGCTCCTTGCTGTTTCCTGGGGAGGCTTTTTGTGAAACATCCAACATTTCCAGGGCAGTGTTGTAGTTGTGAAGATCCTACCACTGCAAGTCAGCCACAGCAAACACTGGACAAGAAATTCCCTGTCAGCTGCCTACCTAGAAATGACTGAAGAGCTGCCCAGAGCCCTTTCTTTCCTTTCTTTCTTTCCTTTCTTTCTTTCCTTTCTTTCTTTCCTTTCTTTCTTTCCTTTCTTTCTTTCCTTTCTTTCTTTCCTTTCTTTCTTTCCTTTCTTTCTTTCCTTTCTTTCTTTCCTTTCTTTTCTTTCTTTCCTTCCTTTCCTTCCTTTCCTTCCTTTCCTTCCTTTCCTTCCTTTCCTTCCTTTCCTTCCTTTCCTTCCTTTCCTTCCTTTCCTTCCTTTCCTTCCTTTCCTTCCTTTCTTTCCTTTCTTTCTTTCCTCTTTTTTTCTTTCCTTTCTTTTCTTTCTTTCTTTCTCTCTCTCTTTTCTTTCTTTCTCTCTCTCTCTTTTTCTTTTCTTTTTCTCTTTCTTTCCTCTCTTTCCTTCTTTCTCTCTTTCTTTCTCTTCCTTTCTTTCTCTCCTTCTCCCTTTCTCTCTTCATTTTCTTCTTTTCTCCTTCCTTTCTTTCTTTTTTTTCCTTGCTTTCTTTCTCTCTCTCCCTTTCTTTCATTCTCCTCTTTCCTGTGAGAAACTCTTGACTGAGCAGCCTGAGTTTGCTCCAGGAATACCAATAATAAAATTGGAAGGCTTTGAGAGTTTGTAGGGCTTGTAGTTGGATTGGATGCTCCCTTCCAGACTGAGGTTTACTGGGAGCAAACCAGCGACAGGACAAGAGGAATTGGCCTTAAGTTGTGCCAGGAGATGTTCAGGCTGGACATCAGGAAGAATTTCTTCATGGAAGGGGTGGTCAGGCACTGGAAGGGGCTGCCCAGGGAGGTGGAGGAGTCCCCATCCCTGGAGGTGAGAACGTGTCACCCAGTGCTCCGGGCTGGGTGACAAGGTGGGGATCAGTCACAGGTTGGACTTGATGGTCTGGGAGATCTTTCCCAACCTGAATGATTCTGGGATTCAAACCACCATGGAGGCAAAAAAATTCAGTGAATTGAATCTAAACCAGTAGTTAAATTCTGCATTGGTGTTTTAAATTTCCATGGCTTTATATGGCCCCACAGACTGAGAACGTTGTGGGCTTTGTTAGACAGGATGATCCATGGGTGTCCATGAGTAACCCATCCCTGCTGCTCTTGCAACATGTAGGAGCAACAGCAGAGATTCCCAATTGTTATATAGTCATTACTTAAAGGCAGTAGGTGGGAAAAGTGGTTCCATGTGCCTGGAAATGGAGCATCTTTCCCTTGATGTCCACCTGCAGGGCTCTGAATGGTCCCTGTCTGTTCCCCTGGGAATGCAGCCCAAGTAAATAGCAAGACCAGTAACGTGACACTGTCACAATGAAGATGTTTCTTAATTGTGTCTTTTGTAGCATAAAATGTTAAATCAGCTTGCTGGAATAACACAGATTTTATCATGCAGTCATTTATCATATAATCACCTAAAATCTGTCTGCAGTTTGGCTACACTGAGCTTACTGTCAGTCTGACTCCTTGGAATTATGATTTGTTACGGTGCTTTTCCTACATATTCGCTATAATTGGGATCCTACCCCAAAACCTCAGACATAACGTCAGTAGAAAATACTCTTTGTATAAACACATCCTACACTTTCTGTGAGTAAATCTCTGCTTATTATTTGTGTTGTTATTTTGCACACGTAAAACTGAACGGCTTTAGAGTTGCCTGGATGGATTCAGCTTTTCCGGTAATATTCTTATCCAAAAAAATCCTCCAGGAACCTGCAGGAATTCCAAGCAGATAGCACCTCCTGAATTTTCCCATAGGCCACGTTTGAAGTCAAATTAGGTTGTGACATGAAAATGACACCATATGATGTGTTTGCTCCCTGCTGCTCCAGCTGGAGGCTCGGTGCAGTTTCAGTAGCGTTTTACAAGGGTTGATTGATTTTGGGGTGGGTTATGGGTTCTTGGAAGGTAGATGATCTTGGAAAAAAACTTGCTGTTTGTCTTTTAAAGACCAGGAGAGGAATATTTGCAAGGGCTGTTTGGGTTATTATAAAACTGAGGGGCTCAGCCTGGAGAAGAGGAGGCTGGAGGGGATCTTCTTGCTTTCTCCAGCTCCCTGAGGAGGTTGGAGCCAGGTGGGGATTGTTTTTTTTCTCCCAGGTAAGAAGTGACAGGAGCAGGGGAAATGGCCTCAAATTGTGCCAGGGGAGGTTTTGATTGGATATTAGGAAATTTTCTTCACTGAATGTGTGGTCAGGCACTGCAAGGGGCTGCCCAGGGATGTGGTGGGGTCACCATCCCTGGAATTGTTCCAAAAATGTGTGGATGTGGCACTTGTGGATCTGGTTTAACGGTGGTGGTGCTGGGTTCATGGTTGGGCTGGATGATCTTTTCCCAGTGTAACAATTCCATGGTTCCACCATGTGTGTGTTATGTCATTGTGTACGTCCAAAAGCTGTGCCAGACCTGTCAGGAGCAGGACCTGGAACCAAACTCCACTTCGAGCCATGAACTCCTGTGGGTCTTGTGCAAACTCCTTTCGTCCTCCAGGTGATTTTCTCTCTCGGGGGCTGCCAAAAGCATCAATGCAAACTATCAAAGCTCCGAATTTGCCTCATGTCCCTGAACCTTCAAAAATAGAGATTAAAGCACCTGCAGACGCAGACAGGACATTCCACACATGGCACGTTTTCCGGGATCCTTTCATTTTGATTGTTCCTTTCTTTTTTTTTTTTTTAATTACAGTTCTTTGAGGTCCCGTTTGACTCAAACATGAACAGGACAAAGAACAGGCCGCTGGTGCGAGGACAGATCAGGTAAGGCACTGCACACCTGCTCTGGCTGAGAGAGAGGAGCTTCACGCTGCTTTTATCTATTTCCAACTTTCCCTCCCGCTTCAGGTGACGAAAAATAGCACTTTTAAGACAAAAGACACAAGGAAGAAATGCATCTCTCTGTTCTTTGCTGTTTCTTCACGTTTATAACTTTCATCTGAGGAGTCTGGGCAATCAGCTGTCCTGGAAAACACTGAATTTCTCAAGGCAGCTGAATTTCCCCTCGTGTTACGTATTTCTTCATGTGCCACGAGATGACTGCGTGCATGGTGTGGTAGCACATACTTATGTTCCACTGAACTTCTATTTTGCAGCAATAAATCTTCAAAATTTCCCGTCTAAGAACAAACACAAAAATGTGTGTTGTTCTTAATAGTCACATTTATCTCTTGGATCGCAGATATTTGTTTGAAACTCCCAGCAGAGGTATCTACAAATCATTTTCTTTAGTGGCTTGTAAAGGCCCTGTGTTGTCTTTGCCTTTTTAGCTGGGTGAAAACTCAAAATCGTGGCATCTCGCGGAATTAATGTAAAAATTTGTCATCATTAAATTTATCATAGTCCATAAGTAAATCCCTCCCACCCCAAAAAGCAAAGAGATTTCCTTTAAAAAAATAAACCCGCTTCGTTCTCTCTGTTTTCTGGATTATGTGTCGGTTCAGTCTCTCAAAGGCTGTTTGCCAGCTAAAAAAGCAAAGTGAAAAAGAACATCAAGCAAAAAAAAAAAACCTCTAACTTATTTGCAAACTGAAACTGAAGGCCCAATTCATAAATGATTCAACAAACAATTTTAGTATTGCGTTTCCATGATTTGTGCCAAGGATTATTTATAACAAAATTATGTTTTCCCTTAGGCTTCGGCGAACAGTTGGTCCTATTTATTTCTGTGTTTTATCCATCACCTTTGGAGGACTGAAAAAAACGTGATAGATGAAATTACAAGAAAATTGAGACAAAATAGTAAAGTGAACCTTGGGGGTAAATTCGCTCTCATGGTAAATAGTTAGAGCACTTCAATAAACTTGTTCTGATTTGTTCTCGGAGATGGTGCTAATTACAGATTCCTGAGTTGAGTTAATTTTATTTAAAAACATATTTTAGGGACCACTGCAGTGAGGGCATCTGTTGTACATACAGTAAGTCAGGCTTAATTGTGCAGTTCAGGGGAGCTGCACTTCTGCTCCCTTCCATGTGGTCCTTTAGCCCTGGGAGAAGGAACACTTGTTAAAGGAAGAAAGATGGTGGGGGGATTGGTTTTTTTTATTATTTTTTTTTTAGTTTTATCATAGTCTACTTGCATGGCTTGCAGTGCTTCTGGAGTCAAAAATATAACTAGGAAACTTTCTGTCAACTTCTGATACAGAGAAAGCCATTTATTTTATGTTTCCAGTGTCCTGAAGTGAACTTCTCTGCCATCTGAGTGCACCACAGATTGGCAAACCCATATTTCAGGGATTTTCTTGCTTCTCCCTCCCCTTCATATTTGCTTTCACCACAAAATGGTAATGTTGGGGACTTTGTGTAATCACTCCTCAATCTATCTACCTGGCTGTCAACAGCTAATTTAAAGTTCTTTAAAGTGTCACTTCCCTTGAATAATGCTGCCCTCGCTCCCTGCAGGCCCTGGAACACGCAGGCCGTGACTGGGGTTATTCCTTCTGCCAGAGGAGAATAATCCAGTGCAAGTGATCTAACCTTGTTACGTTTTGCCACATATTCCCTGGTGTTCCTTGAACTCCTTCCTTCCTGGCTGATTAAATAAAGCCCATAAATGGCTGTGCTAAAACCAGGCAAAACCAGACGAGACGGGGATGGATAAACAGTACGTAAGAGACTGGTGTCTTGGCTCTGGGAAGGGATCCAGAGAGCTTGGGGTATGCACGGAGTTCTTGCCCAAAATTTGCCTGACATTTGAGTTTTGACATTTTCTTCTCTTTAGCTGCTTCATTTCATTAAATATTTGATGATTTTTTTATTTTTTCTGCTGCATTACAACATCTGTGCTGTCCAGTGCAAACGAGGCATCATCTTCTGATCCGTCTTCATTTGCGCTGTTTGTAAATACATTCTGATTTCCCTCCTTTCTTTTTTTTTTTCTGCCTTTCCTTGCTTTCTGTTTATTTGGCACAGAACTTGTTACAGAAATGGTCAGTGTGGGTAGCAGTTTTTGTCCTGAGCTTGAGATCCCTTTCGAAGAGAGGGAAGGCTGTTAACTCTCCGTGATGTTGGCTCTGCAGCTCCTTGGAAAGGCTTTTGGGGGTGGCTTTGATATGAATCTTACCCACTGGGAAACTGCAGTGAGGCCAGGGAGAGTTTTTATAGGGGTTGTGCCATCACATAGAGGACTCTTAGACGCTTTGAGCTTTGGCCAGAATCAAACTGGTAACCCCCAGTGAGAGGTCCTTGGAGTTACTGAGTCATCCAGTCCTGGGATGAGCTGGAGTCTCCATTTTAAATAAGCTGGTTCGTGGAGCTGGCTTGTTAGGAAATGTTTTGCATTTGCAGAGAATTTATTCCCATGTGTTTTCCCTTTGTGGCCTCCATTTGCAGACTCATCCCCAAGTTTGTTTAGGTTTAAGACCAGCTGTCAGTTCAAACTGACCTTGTTTCCAGTGTTTCTTCCCTTCCTTTCTTCCTGAAGCCTTCAGTGTGAGAAAGCACCACAAGCCCCTGTCTTGGGGGGTTCATTTCCCTGCACACACATTCACGTGGTTCCCAGATCCCCACATCAGCCTATTGTGTGAGTTACTCAGGACTTGCAGCTTCCTTTGGGATCAGTGAGGAACCTCGGGAGCTTTTAAAGAAAAGCTCAGTGGCCAGGGCTGCACTGTGGGGTGTGAATGTCACCATGGCCTCGGAAGTTTGGCTGGGGACAGTGTCGTGGTCTTACTGGTGACACTCAAGAAGTGTCTCAGCTGGGCAGCTTTGGCCTGTCTGTTGCTCCCTGTGAGCCAGTTCAGCAAAGATCCTTGGAAAAATGGGATTTGGAAGAGCAATTGTCCCCCAATCCTTGGTGAAGCATCAACTTGATGGCTGAAACAGTCATTTAGAGACTCAGTGTGCCCCTGCTCTATATTTTATATCCTTTAGCCTGGACAATCCATGCAGGCACTGGCACAACAGCTCTGCAGAGCTGAGGCTGCTGGATGTAGGGACTAGAGTATATTTACCTTATTTGCCAGCCCCAAACCCACCTCTGGTGCCCCTAGGGAATCTCCTGACACTCTTGGTAGATTTGTGACAAACAGCACCTGATAGTTCATTGACTGCTTGCTTTACAATGTCCTATTTAATTTGTAAGGCTCTGAAAAAAAATGTTCCCTTTGAGCAATGAGACGTAACCATCCTTATTCTCTATTCAGAGGGTAATCAGAGACATCCTGTTGCAAAAATAACAAGAGTAGACCCAAACACAGCACGCCACTGAGCACCATCCATCATCCCTGCCTGCCCACATCTCCTCCTCCCTCCTCTGACCCCTCAAGTCTTGTTTGGAAATACAAACAGCTTGAGATGTTCTTCATACTTGGGCTGCAGTGTTAAAGTCATTGAGTGTATTTGTGTTCTGCATTATAACAACAGCTGATATTGGTTTCCCTGCTCTGAATTGGTTTTGTGTCATTGACAGCGAAAAATTTCATGTGCTCACACAACCTCAGATTCGACTGCAATGGCAGGAGCTTTTCCTGGTTTCCTGTTGGGTGTGATTTATTCCCTTGCTTTTTAAGGTAATGGATTTAATTTTCCTGCAGATTAATTTAAATAAATCTCCAGTATGAGCTGCAGTAGCTGAGGGAGCTTAACCTGGAGGATGACAAGTGTCCTGCTTCATTATGTTGTACAAAGTGACAGTTTTGATTGCCCAGAACTGCACTGTGAAATTCCCTTGAGAAAAGTGGCTGTTTTATGAACTTCGGGTGCTGCTGGATCTGCTGTGTTAATCACTCATAAAAATCTTCAGAGCTGTGCAGGAACAGTTTTTCATCTCAAAGATGTTGAGCCCTCAAACAGCACGTTCTAAATAACCAATTTATGGCCCTGTGGACGCTGTTCAGTTCTGCTCCTGTGGTATTTTGCACCTTTCAAATGTTTTCTGGGGCTTCTCCCTCACTTCACCTCCAGGTTTCTTGTCACCTGGACCGTGCAGGGAGCCTTAGGGGTGGCCCAGGCTGGAAGGGATCTCAGGAGAGCTGTGGACTGATCTCCTGCTCACAATCAGGGTTGACTCCAGATCTTGTCTCAAAACCCTTCAATATAATGGCTTTAAACTGGAAAAGAGTAGGTTTAGGTTAGATCTTAGGAAGAAATCCTTCCTTCTGAGGATGGGGAGGCCCTGGCACAGGTTGCCCAGAGAAGCTGTGGCTGCCCCATCCCTGGAAGTGTCCAAGGCCAGGTTGGATGGGGCTTGGAGCAACCTGGGCTGGTGGGGGATGTCCCTGCTCATGGCAGGGGCTTGGAACAAGAGAAGCTTTACAGTCCATACCAACCCAAACCATTCTATGATTCTGTGATAAAAATAACCTGCTATGGAATTTAGTTACAGTCTCATTATGCAGAATATTTACACTCAAACTTGCTTTTCCACGTGCATTTAAGTCCATTAACATGGCAGAAGAAGGCACAACAGAGATAATGCCTTGGATGGCTCAACAGAAGTATATCTCTGTGTTGTTTGGTGAATGGTTTTTCCTAGCATCCCATTAACCTCCTCCCTTGGCAGTGCCCAAGGAGCTGTGTTCTGTCAATGAGTTTCCCGCTCATGACCACAGTTGATGGTTATTGCAGTTAATGGAGGCAGTAACGCTGCTCCTACTTGTTGACATTTCTGAATGGAGCTTTGATTTGGCTCAGTTTAACCTATAAGCCAAACTCTTGAAGAATCAGACCAAAAAGAGCTCCTGTGCTAGCAGTGTTTCTCTCCTATGTCTTATATTTATGAACTATAGTTATAACTGCAGATATGTAAGTTGGGCATTCATGGA